AAGGGATCCTTCCACCTCAGCCTCCTGAGTAGCTGGGACTACAGGTGTGCACCACACATGCAGCTAACTTTTTAGGTTTGTGGAGAAAGTGCTTCACTATGTTGCCCAGGCTGGTCTTGAAGTCCTTGCCTCAAGTGATCCTCCTGCCTCAGCCTCTCAAAGTGCTGGGATTACAAGTCTGAGTCACTGTGCCCAGTCCCTACTAGTCTGATAGATTTTCATATAGATACACAAAGTTTCTATTAGGTAATGTTTACATGGTATATCTTTTCTATCCTTTTTTCCTTACATTTTGAGTATTATATTTTATATGAATCTCTTATAAGCAGTATACAGTTGACTTTGTTGTTGAGAAGTTGGTTTATGTTTTTTTAATCACTGATATGTTTGGATTTAAATCTATCATTTTGCTATTCGTTTTGTTTATTATGGATTCCTTTTTCTCTCATTTAGGTCAGTCAGTTGTTTTAAATATACATGATTTAAGTTATCTTAGCAGGATCCCTTCACTAAAATACACATATTCTCAGAAATATATAACTTTAGCAAATGTAAAACATAGATTGAAAGAGGCAGCTTGTAAAGTGAACAGTTAAGCGTCTAAGGAAACCAGAATTAGAGAACCAAAGAGGGGCAGCTGTTAAGGAGAAAAATAAATCTTAAGAATAAGTTAGTGTCTATTTAATCCTAGTATTGGAGGGGAAGTTATAGCTGAAGAAGTGTTCAAGGATCGTGGGTGTGAGGATTGAACACTGAGCATTCTCATGAGTTCCTATAGTCACCAGGTATTGGTATTAGTCAGTGTTGGCTGCACATGAAACAATCTTACAATCACCATATTAAATATAACTATTATCCCACTAAGACCATGTGGGTCAGCTTATATGGCTCCCTGAGTTGGCTCCACTCCATGAATGTTCATTCTGGAACTTAGAAACTAGGAGTAGTGGCTACTTTGGAAGAGATCCAAACCTTTCAGAGGAATAAGTGGAAATAGACAATGTCGTTTAAGATCTTAAGATCTGGAATAAAACATATTCATGGTCACTTTCACCCACATTCCAAGGACCCAAATCAGTCACCTGGAGAAGGCTAACATCAAGGGTCAGGGAGGTAGGAGGTTAAGGAATAAATATTTAGTCTAATTGATCTCAGTGTCTAACTAGAAAATGCTTTTAAATCAATGATAATTCCCTTCTGTGCTTTCAGCTCATGCCACAAAAATGTCATCCTTGGGCTTCTGTACCTTCTTATTTTGATCTTAATGAATCTTTAAATGAAATCTGAAAAGCAGCTGGCTCCTTTCTTTATAAACTCAGCTTGCAATAGTCTATCATATATTTTAGAACTTGAAAAAAGTTTAAATAAGATAGTTGACTTTTTCCCTCTTCTCCCAACACCAGATAGTTCTTATTGTATTTAAGATTCAAGAAATGTCTATTTCAACAGGCAATTTTAGCTAGGTTCCGTCAAATGTAGAAGTCTGCTCTTGGGCTTTAGGATGTTTGCAATTATGGTCTGAAATTTTACTATTTTGAAATTGATTAATATCATAGGTATTAGAAGACTAGAAATTCAGAATACAAATCTAAGCATATTGCTTTTAATCACTTTATTTTTTGATAGTGAAATTTATCATAGATAATAAGACGAAGATATTTTCAAGAATATACTCACATAAATAATAAGGCATAATGGTTTCTACTTCCTAAACATACAAATATAAAACCAATGCATAGAAGAAACTCCTGAATTAAAGATGAATACAATGAGATACACATCCAAAAGAGCATGAATAAAACAAAAACGTCCAGTCCACTGAATATATGCAGCAAAACAAAAGTATAGACTAAAGTGGCAGAATATTGGAGCAGCTACTACCAGTGGTGAACATTTCATCATTACCTAATATCTTCAGATAAAAGGAGTTCAAAAGTAGGCACTTCAAAAAATTTTAAAGAATAACTGCAAAAAGGGATTTATTACAGTACTGGAAATGGCACTGTCTTTTAAAAATTGTGAAGGAACAAAGCAAATTCAATGACAATTTTAATAGGGTTTGGTTGACCCAGAATAGCAAAGCATCATTGATGCTGCGGAGTCACAAGTAGCAAAGACAGAACACAAATTAACCACCTAGGTGGAAGATAAGTTACAAAAGAAACTGAGAGCCTTAGGGAAAAAATGAGAAATTCAATCTGCAAAAATCAGAAGTTTCAGAAGAAATATATGGGAGAAAGGGAGGGAGGGAGGAAGGAAGGGAGGGAGGGAGGAAGGAAAGGAAGGAAGGAAGGAAGGAAGGAAGGAAGGAGGAAGGAAGGAAGGAAGGAAGGAAGGATAGGAGGGAGGGAGGAGAGAGGGAGGAAGGAAGGAAGGAAGGAAGGAAGGAAGGAAGGAAGGAAGGAAGGATAGGAGGGAGGGAGGAGAGAGGGAGGGAGGAGAGAGGGAGGGAGGAGAGAGAGGGAAGGAACTGGCAAGGTATACCCAAGGCAATTGGCAGCTTTAACTCTCATGTGCTCTATGAATTTTTGCTTTGTTACTGCTTTTATTCTATGAGAATTTTCTTTTTTCTAAAAGGAATGTTTCAAAAATATATCCAGCAGTTTATATGTGCTATACTGAAAAGGTTTCTCTGAACATTTAAACTCTTTATTGCCAGAAATAAAAGTCTCTGCTTATGAAAATCTTTACCAAGGTCTAAGGCAGAAATGAAACCCTCACATTATAATACCAGTTTCCAGTCTTCTTGGTGGTAGTGGTGGTCTGAGATGCTCAATTTTTTTAAATCAAAGAAGTTTTTTCTTTCAAGGTAATTTATGTGCTTAAGTTTTACCAATATAGTGTAATGCAAAAGAATTCCTGTTTTCTGTTTCTGTGATAGCAACCTTTTTTTTTTTTTTTTTTTTTTTTTGAGGTAACATGTGCTCTGCCAACATCCTAGACTGTCAGGAAGGGCCACAAGAGATGCAATATAAGGAATTTACAGAGGAGAATTATTTGGGCAATATTCAGATTTTATCCCACCCTGTTTAGTTTTGAAACCCAAGTTTATGAGGGACAGTACTGAAAATGCAAAGTATTTTGTGCATGTCCCTTAAGATTAGGATATGGGGGTGAGTGAACTTTCTTCTTACTGCTACCTTCCTTCTTCTAAAACCACAGCTTCTCAGAAACATGTCTGTTTTAGTATACCACCCACCAAATTTCTTAATTTCTGTCATAAACCATTTTCTAGGTCATTCTCTTTTAAGCTAAACAGAAGACTTGAAATCCTTGTCTTTCACAGAGATCATTTACAGTGTAAATGTATTGGCCTTTCAGTTCTTTGATCTCATTATCTGCAATTTTCTCCCCGATCCTTGCCAGCCATTTTTAGAGTTCCACTCTATCCTACACCCTATAATTACCAGTACCTTCACCATCACAGAAATTTCTGTTTCAAGCATCTTACACTCTGACCTATTAACTTAGTTCTAGTAGCTTCCATCAGTTCAATCACTGTATTTAACTCAGTCTGCCTCAATTATTTGATCTCAGCCAATCTACCTCTCAATATCACTGCTCCCTCCTTTCTTCAGTGTCCTCTTTACTCATGGCCAATGACCATGATATCACTTTTAAATATTTTGCTTTCTCTCTTTTATATATACACTAGAAAAAAAAAAAATCCATTCTTTGTTGAACCCAGCTATCTTCATTACATTTGCATCACATAATTACAGAAGAAAAATATGTATACTCACATATTTTGTGATTGAATAATTTAATATGTTACAAAAACTACGACTAAAGCTTTCAAACTAGTATTCAAATGTGTCCAGAAATCCTGTGATGTTTGGTTAGAAGTGCCGCTTTCACTTTCTGAGATGACTATTTCATAACTTCTCTCCTCAAACTTCTCATAATCCTTTCTTCACTCCCTTTACTTATCTCTTCAGTTTTTATCATAAGATAATCTCTCTTCAGTTTTTATCATAAGAATGCTTAAAACCAAACATAATAAATCAACCCAGCTCCATCCATCCACATTCACAGGGTATGTGTCTTTCTTTCTGCCTCCAAAGAAATAAGTGTTTCTGTTCCCTGAGAGAGGATAACCCTACATAATGCTCTGGATCCTGACTCACCTTCCTTTCCCTCCTTCTCCTGAAGCAACTTCTTCCTGTCTACTGGATTCTTCTTGTTCTCTTCAGCACATGTATGCTACCTCAACGTTATCTTTTCTTTTCAACTAGCCATCTCTGCCACACTTTCCACATCCTTCTTTGTCATCCATCCTGTCTGCTCCCTTTTGCTTGATCTCTTTCATTTCTTCCCTTCCCATTTGTTATTGAACCTACTCAAATTGGGCTTCTGTTCACATCAAATTTACTGACATTGTTTTGTCAAGGTCTCCAGCAGTTTTCAAAGTTATTAAATTCAATGGGCTATTCATTAGTCCCATCTTGATTGGGCTTTCAGCAATATTGGACATCATTGAGCAGTCTCTGCTTCTTGAAATAATTTATTCTCTGTTTCTAGGACACAACTGTCTTTCTAATTTCTTTTTGTTTTTTATTTCACAGGCAGTCTCAAGATCCTTTATAGATTTCAACTTCTTTAACCTCTAATACTGGTGTTCTCAAAGCTAAACTTGGATTGCTGTTCTCATCTCTAAATACCCATTCTTTTTCAGGAAAGTCTAGTTGCATGTCTTTAAAAACATCTTATATTTTAACTTCATCATTTAGATCTTTCCACTTGACCTGTCCTCTGAGTTCTAGGCTCATATCTAACTGCCTGGCTGGAATCTCCTCTTGTGCAATGTATTATTTGGGGTGCCATTAGGTGCTTTAACAAACGAACCTTCCAAATTTCAGTGGCTTAATATGACAATAAAAGGGCATTTCTCATTTACAAAAACAATGACTTTTTTCGGTGGGGAGGGTTCCAAATGTGTCCTTCTTCATGGTGGTGAGGTATGTCCCACACATCTTTCTTATGTTTTCTCCCCTATCTAGAGCCCGACGATATTCTGCATTCAGTTAATGGACAATCAAGGTGCATAAAGCATATGCATATCTCCGTCTCCTCTGCCTGGAATGATGCACAACATGTTCTCCATTGTTTCTTTGGTGAAAAATAGCCATATGGCCCCATAGGGATGCGGTACGATCTGGGAAGTATTGTCTCTGGCTGAAAAACTGCTCACCAGCAGTAGCTATATTCTACTAAGGGGAATATGAATCTTTGATGGACAGCTAGCCATCTCTGTCACACTGCCTTTCTTGCCACCTGGTAGGCATCCAAACTCTTTCTTGTTCTACACAGAATTCAATCATCTGCTTTTTGAGCAAAGCAACCATAAGTGTCATACAGCTGCTGCATCCAGTGAAGAGTCAGGACCTCTAGGTGATGAATGATTCACTCCAGCAGCAGTGAATATGACTCCCTGTGCTCTGAAAATATATGAACTACAAGAAAAGTTGTCTATCTACTCCACTCTCCACCGCCAACATCCAATACACAGTGGTAGAGCAGGGACAAAGAAGTACAATAAAAGCTCACATTCTAAAAAGAAAAGCAGGGGACGTATGGCAGTCACTGGTCCACAGTAATGATGAAAACTTGAAGGGTAGGCACTGTGAGATTGTTTAATCAGGTAAGGGGAGAACTTCTTAATTAGTCTCTGATTCTACCTTCTGGGAAGAACTCATTTGTTCATTGCTCTATTTGGCCACTGTCTCCATGGATCAGAACTATCTTCTGGAATGTTCTGTCTTGTCCATTATATTGCTGGCCGCATCTGAAGTGGATTTTAGAATATGTGCCCCTACTTGGGGTGTACTTTCACAAATTTTTTTCCTGTTTGTGCAAGTTTGAGAGCACAGTGACTGTCTGAAGGCTCAATGATAGGTTACTAGTTTGCTTAGCAATATAATTTGTCAAAACTTTGTAGGCTTCTTATCTATTTGTTTCCAGTTCCATGTACTATAACCCCATCCAAATTTCTTTTTAAGACCGTAGTTCTCAGGTCAGCTTTTTAAAATTTTTCCTGCCCATTGCTTCTCTCTTTTAACTTGATAGTGACTACTTTGAGGCAATCTGGAAAAATATGATTGAATAGCAAATCCATGTCATTAATGAACCTCCATTGCTCAAGATTTATCAATCATAAGACTGTTTGGTGTCTGCAGCAGTAGTGGTTTTTTCTTTGTTTGATTGTTTTTCCAATCCTGAAAGTTCCTTTCTCTTGCTCACATTTAGTTTTGCTTGCAAACTGGTCAATTTTCATCTAAGCATAACTCTTTCTTTTACTACCCTGCTAAACACCACAATTAATAATCAACTAACATTGCTAACATGCCTTTCCAATTATTTTCCCCTGGAGCAGAGGCTCTTTTTATTCCCCATGAACCCCTTTGGTCGTCTACAGAATCCTATCAACTTGTTCTCAGAATTTAAGAAAATATATAAAGTAAAACACAGAAGATAAAATAGAAAAATAAATGATACAGAAATATGACTATGAGCATATTAAAAATGCATAATGTAATATATTTGCTACTTTATTACTACATCTAATAAAACAAAATACTTGTAAAAAAGGCAAGTTAAAATAAATTTCTTTTCAATATATTCATGTAAGTTTTTCTTACTTGGCTTAGATAAGAGCATTAAACAGCAGGTTGGCTTTTCATTCATCTCTTTCCACATATAGGAAACAATCTGTGGAAAACTGTATGCTGCCCGCATATGAAAAATCCTTCCAGGATATCTGATTCTAGCCTTTCATTGTTTTTCAGTTATTTTATAATTCTTAAGTTACAGTAACTGATAAACATGTGTAAAATCTGTCCTAGACATTTAATTGACTTTTTCAGCCTCCCTCCTCTACCACAGAAAGCATTTTTGCTGTCATTTTCAATTTTCTTTTACTTCATATACATTGTGCTTTTTGCACATTTTATTTGAATTGATTATAACATCTGCATAGTTCCCCCATTGTCTGCACAGTTCCCCCATTGAATAAGTGTAATAAATTATTTACCAAGAGTTCAACTTTATATCTGTATGAGAATCAAAATTGTACCTTTCTCTGGAAAATTATCTTTGATGCATATAATGGTCCAACAAATAATTATAGAGAGCAAACATTAGAAAGCAACATGGATATCTATGTCATAAATATACACAGCTTACAAGGTTAAAAAAAATGCCCTATGAGACTACATGGGGTGCCAGAGAAAGAAAGACACTTGACCTGGAAGTGACACATCCCACTGTATTGTCCATTCCATTGGCCAGAACTAATTATATGATCTCACCTAGATGAAATAGAGGTTAAGAAATGAAATCTCTGAGTGGGCAGCTACCCACTCGCAACATCTCATATGATAGAAGGAGAGGAAGAGTATTTAGTGAGCTGTTAATGTCTTGAGCAAGAATATGTAGCAGACACTTAGTGGTCTTTGCCACATGTCATTAGCAAACATTTCAAACATAATGCATGCCACCTGAGAGCTCATGGTGCTTGCCTTCAGTAAGACAAATGCTGTTTCAAGGCTGGTAAATATTTTTTTAAAAGACCTCCTCATTTTCTAACTTTAAAAATTACTAATTTTGTTCAGCCTCAATCACTATCGAAGTATTAAAAGCTTTTTATTACATTTCAGTATGAAAGTTTACAGAGAGAAAGGCATATAGGTATGAACAATTCTTAATAAATTCATGTTATAATTATAGAATAAGCCATGACAACATAGCCAACTGTGAAATATGCATAATCTTTGCAGTTTTATTTTTAGAGAAGTCTTTCAAACTATGAAAATGAGTAGCAATGAGTCCCAGGTTGCATCATCATTCAGAACCATAACTAAAAATCTTGCAAGAAAAGTTTTGTTATCTATACTGCTTTTTGAAAATATACTAAATATGTTTTTCTTTAATTGTATATGCCCGCTTTGGAATATACTATTTCCCCTAGTTTAAAGTTGGTTTTCTGCCTTAAATGCTGTTCCCTAGCCCATAATATTGACTGTAAATAAAATTATATGTAATTGTGGCAATTATTTTTTGAATTTGAAGTTTGAAATTTTACTTTGAAAGTATTTATCATAAATTTATGAATTTAAAGGGATACATTTGTGTGTCTGGGTAAAACTGAGCCAATTTTTCCATAGACTTGACATTTATAGTTTCTGTTGAATAAACATAGAAATTGACCTTTCCAGGCTTGAAACTTGAGAAATTACCTTTGTCTTATCTGAGTTACCTTCTCATGAAACCAGTAACCATCAGGTCTCTCAGATAGTATCAAGGAATTGAAACTTACTAGATCACCACAAACCGAACAATGAGACTTTAGACCCCTCACCCATCATGATTGCCTCCTGCTTCCTGTTGACCAACTCCTCTTTCTTACTCCTCCCTAATTCTCATTTTTCTGCATGTAGTTACGTTTCTGGTATAAACTCCTAATTCTGGTAGGTCAAGGAGACGTCTTTGAAACTTATCTCCCATCTCCTCAGCTGCAGCATCCTACTATAGCCTTCTTCTCTGGCAACATGCATCATCTCAGTGATTGGCTTTCTGTGCTGTGAACAGCAGGACATAGACCAAACCCAACCTGTTTTGGTAACATCTGTAGCTTGCAAAAAATGTATTATAACTTTTTGATTATTTTCATAAATTACACTTATTTGATTATAATGTGAATTTTTCTTTCAAATTGGATTAATAATTTGGGATTATTTAAAAGGCTAAACCAGAGTTTCCCAAATGTTTAATGGAACGCTGGTTTCTCAAACTGTTTGTAGGTACAGTGTTTCAACAAAAATTATTATAGTAGAATACATTTGGAAGTCATTGACTTAAATAAAGTAAAATGTGTTTATTTGCTAGAGAACGTGTTAGAGCCTTTAATATACAAATGCTTAGTATGAATTGATAAGAGGGTATATAGTACTTTTTAAAGTTATTTGACTATAGATCTTTTATTTTTCTGGCACAACTAGAATTGTTAGCGGTTGGAGAATACTCTAAGGAAACTGTTAGTTTATGAATCTTGTTCTTAGGTTCCTCATGACTCTACTATTCAAATGTTTCTTGAAGACATCATAAAGGACTGGTTGCAGTGGCTCATACCTGTAATCCCAACACTTTGGGAGGCTGAGGTGGGTGAATCATGAGGTCAGGGGTTCAAGACCAGCCTGACCAGCATGGTGAGACCCTGTCTCTACCCAAAATACAAAAATTAGCCTGGCGTGGTGGTGTGCACCTGTAATCCCAGGTACTAGAGAGGCTGAGGCAGGAGAATCAGTTGAACCCAGGAGGTGGAGGTTGCAGTGAGCCCAGATCGTGCCACTGCACTCCAGTCTGGGAGACAGAACAAGACTCTGTCTCAAACAAACAAACAAACAAAAAACTAAAAAAAATAAAAAATAAAAAAAAACCCTTAAAGAACCAAACCCAATCCAAGACCATTCAGATTCCAGATAAAAAAGCTGCAGGAAGGAAACTTGTGTCTATGGTTTGTGGTCAGAAGTTCTCTGAAATGGAATTAGAAGAAAAGAGACATTGTTCTAGTGAACAGCTTACAAACCAAGAAGATGGAGCCATCAGTGAAAAAAAATAGTGCAGTTCCTGGAAGTCCACGTCAGAGCAATCAGACAAGAGAAAATATAGGGCATCCAAATCAGTAAAGAGGAAGTCGAACTGTCTCTGTTTGCCAATGATATGATTTTTTACCTAGAAAACCCTAACTACTCATCCAAGAAGCTCCTAGAACTGATAGGTGAATTTATTAAAGTTTCAATATACAAAGTACAAAAATCAGTAGCATTGCTATACACCAATAATGACCAAACTGAGAATTAAATCAAGAACTCAATCTCCCTTAAAATAACTGCAAAAAATCAATAAATGATATACATAGGAATATACCTAAACAAAGAGATGAAAGACCTCTAAAAGGAAAACTACAAAACACTGCTGAGAGAAATCATATACAACACAAACAAATGGAAATACATCCCATGCTCATGGATGGGTGGAATCGATATTGTGAAAACGACCATACTGCCAAAAACAATCTACAAATTCAATGCAATTCCCAACAAAATATCACCATCATTCTTCACAGAACTAGAAAACAAAATCCTAAAATTCATATGAAACCAACAAAGAGCCCACATAGCCAAAGCAAGACTAAGCAAAAAGAGCAAATGTGGAGGCATCACATTACTCAACTTCAAACTATACTACCAGGCTATGGTCACCTTGTATGCTCAAAACAGCATGGTACTGGCATCAAAACAGGCACATAGATCAATGGAACAGAATAGAGAACCCAGAAATAAACCTAAATATTTACAGTCAACTGATCTTCAACAAAACAAACAAAAAACAGAAAGTGGGGAAAGGATGCCCTGTTCAACAAATGGAACTAGGATAATTGGCAAGCCACATGTAGAAGAATGAAACTGAATCCTCATCTCTAACCTTATATTAAAATCAACTCAAGATAGATTAGACTTAAATCTAACTTCTGAATCCATAAAAGTTCTAGAAGATAGCATTAGAAAAACCTTTCTAGACATTGGCTTAGGCAAAGATTGACCAGGAATCCAGAAGCAAATGTAACAAAAACAAAGATAAATAGATGGGACTTAATTAAACTAGAAAGCTTCCGCATAGCAAAAGAAATACACAGCAGAATAAACAGACGACCCACAGAGTGGGAGAAAATCTTTGCCAACTATGCATCCGACAAAGGACTAATATCCAGAATCTACAATGAACTCAAACAAATCAGTAAGTATAAAACAAACAATCCTGTCAAAAAGTGGGCTAAGGAAATGAATAGACAATTCTCAAAAGAAAATATATAAATGACCAACAAACATATGAAAAAGTGTTCAACATCACTAATGATCAGGGAAATGAAAATCAAAACAACATTGTGATACCACTTTACTCCTGCAGGAATGACCATAATTTAAAAATAAAAAAATAGATGTTTCTGTGTAGGTGGTGAAAAGGGAATACTTTTACACTGTTGATGGAAATGTAAACTAGTACAACCACTATGGAAAGCAGTGTGGAGATTCCTTAAAGAACTAAAAGTAGATCTACCGTTTGATCCAGCAAACTCACTACTGGGTATCTCTCCAGAGAAAAAGAAGTCATTATATGAAAAAGACACTAACACATACATGTTTATAGCAGCACAATTAGCAATTGCAAAAATATGGAACCAGCCCAATGCCCATCAATCAATGAGTGGATAAAGAAAATGTGATATATGTAGCATGGAACACTATTCATCCATAAAAAAATGAAATAATGGCATTCACAGCAACCTGGATAAAGTAGAAAACCATTATTCTTAGTACCAAACATCATATGTGCTCACTTATAAGTGGGAACTAAGCTATGAGGACTCTCAGGAATAAGAACGATACAATGGACTTTGAGGATT